GACTGGGTGACATAGGTCCCGTTAGGCTCTCTGGATAGGGACCTCGGGATCATTAAAATCCAAGATTGGAGACACTGAGTGATATGGCTGAGTATTCTAAACAATGGCGTTCGTGCACACCAAATTTTTTGTAACATTGGTCCACTGAAGTTTACCATTTTCTATTTGGCTGTACTTTCAAATCTCTTGCCTTTCTCATACTCTTCATCCAAATGGGCAGCCAAAACCGGCGAAGGAAAGCGCGTGGTTAAATGGTTGTTTACACTGAAACTGAAACCTAGCTACTGTCCCAGCTTCTCCTTATAACGTGCACAGACCATGATGAGCTGAGGAGTCGATTTCTGACGATGACCGATGAGATTAAGAGTGAAGAGTAACAGAACTAGCGCGTGATCCAACTCAACACAGGTCGCCCAACAGGATCCGCAATTTTGTACTGAACCAGACCAGGGTAAATTTGCGTCGGCCTTCCCGTTTGACGTAGAACACCATATAGCCGCTCGATGAGAGATGTGGAGAAAATTGCTGCTAAATAAAAACACCCGATGATCAGCGCAGAAATGAAAAAGGCAATCACCGTTGTCTCTTGGCTAGGCGGGAAGAGCGTAATGCCATCCTAGACAGGCTTCCGATGCAATCAGTTTTCCAACATGCGCATTAAAATCACCTGCCAGCACCATAATATCAGAGCTGCGGCTCAACCGAATGAGTTCGGCAAGATTGTCGTAAAATTCGTCCTTTTGTGAAGTACGACTACAGTTGGTCGGTGCATCTGCAGAACTGATGAACAAACACACGAACACTGAACCCTGGAGCCTCATTGCGCACAAACGACTATTGACGGGTATCTTATTATTTCAACACACAACCAATTACAGAGAACTGGCAAATGTGCCACAAGATGTGAACAAAAAACGGTAGNTGTGTTCAGAGGTTGTGTGGGCATGTTACTTCTAGGTTGTCTTGACAGGTATCCAATCTGTCAGTGAGGCTTCAGTTTTTTTGTTTAATACGATCCCTAAATCACGCTAATCCAGTAAGCAGTCTTCGTCGTCTCCTGATGTGCGAAGGAAACACCTCGAGGACAAACCCGGCGCACCCAGGTGGCTTATAATACTACGATCCTGAATTTGTGTCTCCGATAGGCAACACACATCAATTTATCAAGAACTCATTGTACGCGCAAGACACGCTTGTTGACCCACCTGCATAAGAGTTCTCACGTTGAAGGCCCTCAGATTCAGAGGTTGACAAGACCTCAAAATCCGCAGTTTATTTACAGGCAAACTATTTACACTGCTACTTGGCAATGACCTTTGGCGAGAGACGAACAAGTTGCCTGGGGGAATGTTACGGGTCGGAAGAAGAAGCAAAGGAACAGGGTTGGGTATGAAAGACAAAGAGTTAAACAAAGGTAGGGATATCTGAGCAGTAGCTTACTTATCGCTACCAACTCCGCTTGATGCAATGGGCAGCGCGGACCGGATTATCCTGCGCGACGACCAATGCAGCATGAAATTATTTTTAGTTTGTGTTCATTGGAGCTATGTGAACGGGTACTGCCGGAGAGTCCATCCGCTACGCAAGAGAACGCTTAGGGTTCTCAACCAAAGCTTTCGGTTCTCAAAAGAACCAAGGCAGCGGTTTAGGCGGATTGAAGGCCCATTAACTTGGACCAATAACTCCTCCAACACGTTATACCGACTGAGACACCAACTCAAGTCAAACACCCAACCTGGACGGCCAGGAGACTGAACTTTGTCTGATCTCTACCCATTGACCTTCCAGACATGATTAGATCTATGGCTCGACAAAAGCCACCTTGTGTAACTCGTTGGATCACAGAGATGAACAAGCTATCACACCACGTCAAGGTGCAGTCTCCTCGGGATGGTATACAAATGGTTTCGGTTTCCAGGTTGCTCATTTGTCACCCCAGTCACTGAGAAAGTGCAGGGTGCGTAGCTTCCCGGGAAACCCGGAGTATGAAGGCGTTGTAAGACGATCCATGAAAAAACTTGGGAATGAGGTACTGAGTGTCATCCCCAGCGTCGCTCGAGTTTCGTCTGAGGGTACCCTTCTAACCCTGGCACAACAAATTGCGACCTACAGGGCAACAGGGTTAAGAAGTTGGTAGCTGGTGACCGCCAGAACGGTTCATACGCATTTCGGATGGCTCGGTGCCAGTCCAGGATCCCAACATTTCCATGAGGTCTCGTGAGAATCGACATCTAGTACTTACCTCACAGTGCTCTCAAAGCTCGTTCTACCCGGATGGGTAGGAAGGTGGCAATGGCCTTATTTAGTGGTGGACCACATTCGTACACGTCACGATGTTGTCAGCAGACAATCATGTATGTCTTTTCAAAATGATCTCGATTGCCAGCAAGAAACCCCACCACGTCCTCTTGCATCGCCGTTGATTGTCCGCGACCGGGTATTTAGTGGGGTGCCCCTAACTTATACACGGCTAACCACCAAAGTGGCCGTTCTCCCGTCCGCGACCTGGAGACGCGCTCGGTAGCATTCGGCTGTGCTATCCGTAGACGATCCATTGGCTACGGATCGTACACTACTGCTTTCAGAAAACCGCTACCGAATACTCTAAGTTGCTGTGCGTTTTGACCTTTCTATCAAATCCGCAAAATATTCGTAATAAATTAGGTTGAAATAGCAAAGATCGTTTAATAAACTCCGAGAATTAGAAGCGGTCTTACAATCAATTGGTAATCCGCATAATCATGTAAACACCATGAACAGTGTCAATCTGTAAAACATACCAAAATAACTGTGCCCGCGTCATATTCGTCCCTGAGCAGCAACTTGACTCCGTACCAGAATACCAATGCAGCGGATACATAAACCGAGAAACCGATAAATCCAGCAGCTAAAAAAGATATACAGTGAGACAGAATTAACTACAGAATACTCCCATAAATGCAACTTCCTCGATTCGGATCAGTATGAGAGAACTCACCAAAGCCAAAACAACTAGCCTGTCTGATTCCAACTTTGGCTGCCTCGTCTAAATGGCTGCCATAGCGCTTTGCTTCTTTCTTTTCCCCAGCGAAAGCATACACTGTTCGGATAGAACGAAAAACTTCTTCCGCGATGGCACTGGCTCTGGCATAAGAAGTAGCTTCCTTCACCGTGAAATGGCGAGTCAAACCACCAAACGAGCCAAACCCCATTATGATGAAGGGTAGCATGCAGAAAGCAACGGCGGTCAGTTTCCAACCACATATGAGGGCAATGATCAGACCGACGACGAAACTTGATATGTTCTGTACGAACTCGCTTAGTTTGAAACCTATGCTCAATTGGATGTTGTGTATGTTTTCCGATAATTTGTTCACGAGTGTGCCGGTTGCTTGTTTATCGAACCATGCTGTATCTTGTCGGAAGATCGCCTATGAAAGTACGAACATAAGAAGGGATAATGTGACATTGAACATGATATCTAATGAATGATATGTAAATGTAGCAAATGAAACAAATTAACCGATAAGATTATTTAAAAATTTCGATTCACCGAAAGCGAGGAAATTACCAACTTAACAGAGCAAAAAATGCCAGGTCTCTGAAATGGCAAAAAAACAACTATGACAGTACATGCAAACAGCCAAGTTATCCTGCAGTAAATTTAGACAATAGAAAGATAAACAAAAAATGTATTATGTTGCAACAATGACCAATAAACCTCAACGAGCAGGATTTTTCTTTACACGATACGGTACAGTGTAATGAATAATGATACAGAATATACTGAATGAATAATGGGGGTATATGGAGTACCCCGTAGAGTAGCACCTCTGACTCGGAGGGCTGTCGGCCCCTTTGGGGCATAACCCGTTCTTTAGTCTCCGCCGGGTGCTCAGCTCTCACCTGTGGCTCCCAGAAGCTGTTTGGATGCAACAGTGACCACACCCCGGTAAACCGCTCAACAGGCGGGCCAAACCAGATTGAAGGTAATCGGGAGCTCAAATCCAGGCGAGTCGGTATTTAACGTACGCGTTGGTGGAAACCGCCACAAATATCTCAAGTTGGCAAATGCCAACCGAGCCTTCTGTATGCGAGCTGACACTTCATCCGTGATGCGTCCACCGGGTGAGATGTAGCTGCCNCCAGATAACAAAACTTATTCAACTGCTCTATCACTTCCTCCGTTAGAGTGAGTCTATGTGCTGGACCAACCCACGTTGAAAGTGCAAAACGCATACCGAACATGGTTATACTGGCACTCACGCTATCCAGAAAAGCTTGCAACTTACCCGGATCTTCACTTAGTAGCACAATGTCGTCTGCAAACTCTAGATCAGATCAGGAAGTAACTCGATACCGAGATCTTCGCACGAGGATTGAGCTGTTTCCATAACGAAGTTTATGACAAAGTTAAAGAGAAAAGGAGGGAAAGGGCAACCCTGACGAACACCACTTTCCATCGTGAACTCGGGCGAAAAAGTGCCCTAAGCTCGGATTCGGCTTCGGCTATTAGTATAAAGGGATTATAATATTGAAACTTCTCGGGTACACCCCTCAGAGAGAGGCAGCGCCAGAGTTTAGAGCGGTCGACTGAGTCAAAAGCCGCTTTCAGATCGAGGAAGACAGAGATGGTGGGTCTACGAAAAAATGTCGGTGCTCCAGAGTTTGACGAAGAGTGAAGATGTGATCGATACAACCTCGACCAGGGATAAAACCAGCCTTGTTCTCAAGTGTGCACTCTTTATGTGCGGCAGACAATCGACTAAGTATGATGCCAGCAAGAAGTTCAGAAGCAATGTTGATTAAACTGATTCCTCCGTGGTTTTCACAAGAGGATCTGTCACCTTTCTTGTAAGTCGGTATGATGACCTATTGACACCATTCCGTTGGAACCTGTTCCCTCTCCCACATTGAGCCCAAGGGTTTTGTTAACTCCAAAAGCAAGGCTTCATCCTTAAAAGCCGATAGGGAAAGCCCACCCGGGCAAGAGGCCTTATGCCGTTCGAGATCATTTATTTCCCGGGCGACCTCCATTTCAGATAGAGGACTGGTATCAACTGGGAGTATTTGCCCAATCGAGGTGGGGGGGGGCGGGGGTGGTGATAGATCAGATGTCGATGGGGGCCAGTTAAAGTGAGCCTTGAACTATTCAACCCAAAACGTATACGGTGAAACACAAAAAATTGTCATCCCATTTATTTGTCATTTCCCATTTTAACAGTTCCGTCTTTTTTCCTGTGTTGTATCCCAACCTCCCCTCCTGTTGTTGTTATCGTTATTATTCCTATGGTGTTGGCACCATGCTTGTCCACAAGCCCGTGGTATATATATATATCTTCAGCGTTGCTAATAATGAGTCTGATTCCTGAATTACCTCACGCCTATTCTCCTAGGGCCCGTATTCTCTATTAGACGGAAAAAATTGTGACTATTACCAATAGCCGCAGCTTCCTCCATCTCTTTACACTTTCTTTCCACCAGTTATCGCGGCCACTTCTCAGACTCTTGATGAGCTGGTGTTTGAGGGATTTGCGCACTGTGTCATATGGGACATCCGGAGGAAGAGTTCTGCGGGGGTCCAGCGGAGCAGCCGAGGTCGATGAGATCTATTGTTTGTATCCAACTTTGTTTATATCGATATTCGCGTAGCTTCCTTGATTTGCTTCCAGTGTTTATTGAGTCCTTCGGTTGGTAGTTGAACTGACAGGCGACCGGAGAGTTCTGCTTCGAAGGCCAATTCGCAACGGTCGTTGACATTGTATGGTGGGTATTTGTTGTGGTAGGCTTTTATGCGGTTGTTTGTCAGGCGTAAGGAGAAGTTGACTCATAAGAAGGCGTGGTCTGTATTCACAGGTGTTGACCAGTAAAAACAGTTCACCCCTAGAATACAAACCCGTGTTTTTCCATCTCAGGTGAGCTAAACTCAGTGGATGCCGGAAAATTCCGGTCGATAGATATCTTCTACTCGCAAATTAAAGGTCTCACAACCCCAAAGCAGAGCCTAACGAACGGTAGCGCAATATACGCCACCTTTCAACTTCAACGAAACGTCGGGTCTACGCCGAAGGTGTTTCAGCTCGCGCAAGCTGCTCGAGCCTTGGCTGTACTACCGTCGTTGACCACGCATTTACCGTAGTAGGGGAAAGCATTCCACGATAACTAATTCCTGGTCATTCGGTTTCGGAGGGCGAGTAGTTGAAAAACAGTCGCTTTGGAGTACCGCATTGCTGTTTGAAGGTGCAAAGCGCATACCGAATGGAGCAACAGGACTTGTTAGTCTGTCAAGTACGCTTAGCGCGGTTTTCATACATTCGAACAGATAAACGATAGGATAGGGTAGGCGTGATACTGAGCTAAGCGATAGCGAAAATGCCAACCATCGAAGGGGGTGGCGGTGGCAGGGTAAGAACCTGGCACATTGGGGCCCAAAGGACATCAGTGACGACGACAAAAAGAACAACATCACTGAAGTTCGCATTATTATCACACCTTATTGTAATGAACAGCAGATGGGAATAAACCCGATAGTCGTATATATCTGTTGTTGAGTGTTGAAAAAGAGCCCCGATACCACCGCCTAACTTTGGTGGTAGACAGCTTTGCCGCCGTCCGGCTCTATATCACGCCTGACATAGCGGGGCCATATGTGGCTCGCCACTCCAAGGTTACCGGTTACCATCATTAAACAGCAGGGCTTCGTGACTATGGCGTCCGCCCCGTCTGCTGTTCCTCACACATGCGTGTATAATAAATAAAATCCTAAGCCCCAGGCACTTGGAGTGGCGAACCACATAAGGCCCTACTAGGTTATTTGTTATTGAACCGGACGAAAGAAAAGCTGCCACCAAAGTTAGGTGGCGGTGGTGCCGAAAACTCGGACTATAGGGTACAAAACACACCGGTGACACCCATTTAAGCACGACGACAGCACTACCCAGCGATGAGTAGTCAATTTTACATCTTACTGCAAAAGATAAAACTCATACGTCAATCAATAATTATTACAATAATTAGCTTTTGATTCAAGTCACTGGCATGTACGAGCCCTCATCATCTGATGTGTGTATTAGATCACTTCAGTAGTATTGTTTTGTTGTCGGGTAGTAACCTGCCACAGCTTATTCCAATAAGGCCTATGGCATCCCGAATGATGTTCAAAGATTTAGAATGCGGGTTCTGCTACTTAAGAGGTAATTACGACTGAGAGGTTTACTCACAAAATAAGCGTTTTCTACTGTGTATATGTTATTGAAAACAGAAAGTTTCCAATCGATAATTTTCCCATACTTGCCTTTATAATGTTTACATAATGATTATTCCAAAACGAGGGGTATTAGCAAAATCCTGCGTGAACGTATCGCCTCTGTCTCTGAATTCAAAACAAAGATATATGATGCTGCTTAGATCATTGTGAGATGACTCCCTAGATAACCTTTTTTAGTACACACTTTTGTGTGATGAACAGCAGACGGGGTAAACCCCATGGTCACAAAGACCTGTTGTTCTTTGGTGGTAACCGGTAACCTAAGCCCCGGGACTTGGAGTGGTGAACAACATACGGCCCGGATAGGATAGGTGTGGTATTGAACCGGACAACAGCAAAGCTATCTACCACCAAAGTTGGGTGTCGGTGGTGGGGTTCAAACCTCAGACCTCAGAGTCCAAAGCACGCCGGCGGCAGCGACTAAACCACTGCGTCAACAGCACCCGTCTGATAAATGACTTGTATTATTATATTTCACTCACGTCTGCGTGCCAAGAAAATCAAAGTATAATATTAGACTTCAGGAAAATGTCAGACAGGTNAAAGAGAGAATAAATAAACCAATGGAGCAATGGGAGTAAAATCTTATTCTAATCATACTCCTTATCCTATGGAGTAAGTGGTGGTCGATTAAAATGAAGCTTAAATGAAAATTCCGACCCTGAATCGAGTGAAAATTGCAAGATGTTAAAGTATGGGGCCATAAACAATCAGAGGAAATTAAAACACAAATATAAGTACTAGATTGCTTTTTATCAAGGACAATGGGACGATGATAAGTAAAACCAACCTGGAGAAACAGCAGTCGAATACGTTGCGCCTGGCGGACTGAGGAAATTTCAACAAGAGCCACTTGTGAAAAAGCCACAATCGACGCACAAACAGCGATGACGGCGAACCAAATTGAGGTACTGTAAACGGCTGAAGCGATTTCTGCTGAATCAACCAGCAAGAACTCGTTTACAATTAGCCGGAACACGAAGATGGCCAGTGGGAATGCCGCACCCAAAACGGCACTAAGCAAGATTCCCGAAGTAATCATTAATTTTTCTGAAGGTGTAGCATAACGGAACTGTAATTTAACTCGTATAACATACACGAAAACTCACCAGCTCTCCAAACTTTACGCCAATATTTGATCTAAAGATGGGACATGAAGAAATAGAACTGAAATTCCCGTCCGCCACTAGTTTCATGATCA